TTATCGTTATTATTATTAAATTATTTCGAACCTACTTTTCGGAGCCGGGTGTTACACTTGAGGTCTAATAGACTTATCATTATTTTGTTATATGATATTATTTTATCATTGTAAGTAAATCGTTAAATTAGACATTGGAATTTAATATTTCTTATAGTTTGATTCATAATATTTTTTAGTTATAATTTGATTTACGACATTTTTCATTTATTTTAAACATTCAATTTACTATCGTTTCATAATAGAAAAAATTTAGAATAATTAGGTTATATTGGAAAATTTTAAGCAATAGCTCAAAAGAACAACTTTGATTAGTGAGTTAATCAAAATCATTATTTTAGATTATTTTTTAAGATGTTCAAACATGATCTAATGATCTTTAACTTTTTTTATTAAAAAAATAAAGAGAAATTGAATATTTAAAATAAATAAAACATATCAAAAATAAAATTATAATAAAAAATATTAGTTACCAAATGGTAATAAACATCAATTTTTAAAAACAAAACCAACGATTTACATTATTATTTTTAACACTCTTATTGACAGGAAAATGTTTTATAAAAAAAAAAATTTATTTTTTAATTAATAATTTAACTACAAACATACTCTTATTCATAAATTTGTAATATAATATAAAAAAATACCATTAACACACTAAAATAATATTTTAAAAAAATAATAAAAGAGTCTTATTTTTTATTTATAAAAAATATATATTTTTTAAAATATCTCTATTTTTATTTATATTTGATGTTGTTTATAAAAAATATGTATTGACGAATATCTTATTATTAATAAACAAAATAATAATATTATAATATAAAAACAGCATATAATTCTTTTGTATAAGGAATAATTTTTTATTTTATTTTTTAATATCCATATATACTTTTTATTTTTTTTAAAAATATAAATATATTTACTACAATTTATTAACTATAGTAACCAAAATTATGATAATTCATGATCAATTGGTTTGTAACTCTCAAAATCGAAATACTCATTATATACTAAACATAAACAATGGTGGAAGATAAACATAAATTACTAATTGATTTTTAATTAATTAAATTATTTATGGTGTTAATAATAATTAACCATAGAAAAAATTATTGTCTTAATTATATAGAGACGTAATTTATTATTATTATTTATTATATATTTTTCCTAAGACCTTTGAAATTTGTTTTAAACATAACATTACTTAAAAATAAGAGAATAAAATTGAGCATCGATTTTAATATTTAAAAATGGAGAACATTTAACCTTCTCTATTTCCAGCCTCTCTACACACCCACGCTCTTCTCTTCTCTTCTCTTTGTTCTGAGCTGATTCTCTGTAAGAAATATGGGGAGAAATGTAGTTTCTGATGACGAAGGTAACTTACCGAGAGGAAACCCTAATTCCATTCTGTTCTTTTCTTCAGCTAATTGTGATTTTTTCTAATTTGCGCAGACGAGGTAGAGTTTGAGGACGAGGACAGAGAGCCAGTGGATGGAGACGCAATCGAGGGACGTGACGACGACGATGAGGAGGATGAAGACGGTACTGGCTGTTTTGTTGTGATAAAGTTCTACATAATCTTTTCCTCTTCCGCATGGACTTTTTTTATTTCTTTTTGTACAAGGTCGGGGATATTTAGTGAATAGGTTAATCAATTAGGGTTTTTATACAATTTTTTTTTTTATTGGATGCTTTGGTGGATTTGAATGTTTCGGGAAAAAAGTTTTACTGTTTTTCTGATATCATGGCTAGAGTTTGTTCACTTGCCATGGAACAGAGCCGATGGGTAAGGTCCCGGTTAGGTTTTTTATTACATTAGAGTTGCATCTATTCTTTTTATATCCTAGAGAATGTTCAGGTTGATATTCCCTCTCTGCTCTGCCTTTTTTAGAGGTCCGAGACAGCTGAACTTTTACATTTGTTAAAGCTCTATATAATTTCCAAAAAAAAAAAAAAAAAAAAAACATTGAAGGGGATAGAAAAACTCTCTACTTGCTGTGGTTGATGCCAGTACTTGTTGCAATTTTTAAAACATTTTCCTATTTGATGACCTTCTCAGCAACCAAATACTGGAATCTGTTTCATTAGATCGGGGCACAGTTCACAGCAAGATTTTCTTTTGGGAGTTCTAATTTTGAAATTTGGTTTAGATTTCATAGTCACCCTTCTTTTTCAAAATTTTTGCGGTGGACTGTTGTTGTTCACCTGATGTGTTTAAAACAATTAGGAGCAGTATGTTTTCTAGGAAAAAACTCGGAGCCATATCTCTCATCCTTTATGATTATTACCCTCTTTAACAAGAAGCTCTCTCCAGTAGGAAATGATAATTTACTGTTTGCAAATAGATATGTTATTTAGTAAAAGAATTATAATTATGCCATTTATTACCTGACAAGGGTGTAATATGTTGCTATTTCGAAAAAAGAAGGGTGTGATGTGTTGCATCGTTGGATTGTGGAGACTAGCAACCATCATTTACTACATTGGAAAGTTGCTTGGTAGATTGGTCTATTGCATTTTTACCTGTCTGGGTAATTATGGTTTGTCCTGAAACCTTGAAATCTTTCATTTCAATTCATCATTTGACTGATTAAGAGGACCAAAGAGCATAAGGCGTTAAGCAGCAGTGTTCTTTCTGATGGGCTGTGGATTATGTTGTTCGAATGTACCACGAGATCTTTAATCAATGTTCTTACTTCCCACACTTCAGGATAGTGTTTTTTTTTTCCTGCTACTTTCTGCAGCAAGCCCCTCAGGTTTCTCCCATGGATTGCTTAGTCTTTTTCACTTAGAGATTCGGCTAATTAATTGTATTGGTGCTTTATCCCTTTTCTTCTTCTTAATTTCTGTATTTTTTGCCTTTTCTAAGGATGATTTGCCATCTCCCCCTCTCGTACTATGTTTTCTTTCTTGTATATCTCCTTTTGCTATGACAAGGAAAAGAGTTGCATGTTCAGTTAGGAAATTTAAGTAAAATTAAATTATTATTACATTTGAAAATGAAATTAGCTACCAAAGATTGATACATTAAATTTTTTTTTTTTTTTTAAATAAAAGTGTGGAGTTGTATTGATGTTAGAGTGCCAAGGGGGCACAACCCATTTACAATGTATTTGCAAGTCGATTAAACTATCGACAACAAAACTAAGATTATCAAGACAGTCGATGTTATGTCCCAAAATAATGGAAGCAAAATTGCGAAACCAACAATCAATGAGTTTGTTAAAATTAAGTTCTATTCCTTCAAACGCGCGATTGTTTCTCTCTTTCCAAAGGATCCATATTATGGTGAGTGAGATTCATCTTAACATCTTCCTCTTGCTGCTGATGCCTTCCCATGCTAGGAGTTCAGCATGAAT